TCAAATGGTCCATTAGGTTCTGCAGGAAAACATGGCGATTAACCTGACAGCTGTAGATCTTCGCTGTCTAATGTTTTGAAACTTATTACAGTCAGCGAGTTTTGCCGCAGAAAAAGGGCGTAAAGGTACGTACCTACTAATAGATGATACAGATGCACACGAAGTGTCAACATTGCAAATGTCGTCTTGAAGGAATATTTTTCATTAAAATATAAAATGAAGGCTATTCAATTAGTAGCTCTATTCAAAATATTCACCCGAATAAATTTCATCACTACACATGAAAATAAGTTCAAAATGACAGAAAATATTTTCAGTTTTATCTACAACTTGACGGTTGACAACTGACCTGATGTTAAGGTTCACATTTGAAATATTTAGATCATAAAGATCATGCACGAACCTGTCCTAAAAGGGTTAATAAACTTTAGCCTTTCATTCTGCAGCAAGACCATATCAGTCTTTATTTGGCATCCTTTTTCGAGCCAGTTGGATTTTTTTCTAAAATATCTTATCAAGAACTGCCTATTTTTGTGTGATAGGCCACATCTATACAGAAAACCGTCAACTACGTACCGAGTGGGGACCACCCGCCCGCCTCAGCTCTGGGCTCCGCCAGCGTCTACGATATATCAGCGGCCGGGCTGACCCACTTAGTGGCACCGCCGTAATCACCACTCTCCACCAGCTTGATAGCAAAACTATGTCACGCCGACATAATATCTGCAAAGGGCATTAGGTGCGGTGCGGTGTACTCGGAAGCCAGCGTCATCCACCGCGCGGCGCTATATTTTGACGCATCGAAACGCGCTTTATGGCAGTCCCACGACGCTGACTCGAAATTGCTTTCAACTCTCTGGTTCAAATGTGCATTCTGAGACGGAATGGGCTCGCACGGGCGGCAAACGGCTCCAGAGATGTTGTCCAACTTCAGCTAGGATGTGTGTCTTTGGAGCATCGAGCCCCACCGAGCAGCGGGGGGCAATGTCAGTCGAGCAGAGAATGAAGCAATGATGCAGTCTTTGTGCGAGTGACAGGTTTCCTTGGATGACATCGGCACACTCGACGAACTACCCAAGTGTGGTTCGATGCTGATGGGACTCCACGATATGTTTCTTCCTCGGTGCTGTGCTCCTTTCTTTTCTCTGTGCTATGCTGAGTTACAACTAAATGCACCACGTTTGTTTTGTTATGCTGTAATGTTGCTTTACGAGTTGGCCGGTGACGGTCGAGTCAAAGCTTCATCGTTTTACAATAAAGGCTTGAACCTTCTTTACGTTGCCTAACTGGTCGCGTGCAAATCTGGTTCAGTGCCGTTGGTTCATATTTCGATGCGGGTGAAGCCAATTCAGTGCCGTTTCATGGAGCCATTGGGGACCCCAAAGACAGCTAAATCGACGCTCACGCACTCATATTTCAGGCTAATAGATTGCGCACTCGCATCTCTATAACATTGATCGAGCAGCGCAACGCTAGGGCACTGAAGAAGTGAAGAGCCTACTAGACACAGTATCGCTCACAGCGAATGCCTCAATAGGTGTCAGTCAACGTCTAAAAGCTGGCGCCGCGAATATAAACGACTGGCCCGTGATCCAAAAGTTAATTTGTGAACAAGTATTATGAGTAGAGTTGCAAAATTTCCCTACCGCACTACCGGCATGCCGGTAATTTTTCACTACCGCAGGTTTATTCGTGGTATCTGGCATGTCTTGCCGGTAGCATGCCGGTATTTTTGATTTTGTGCAAAAGAAATTATCAGCAAATGATTCAAACTTTGGACACTAAGAGGCTCTCAAATTGTAGTAACAGCAATATTAGCCACTGCAAGATACATTTTGTGGTAGAAGTTCCATTGCTAAGTGTAGGGGTAACACATGGACCTCAGCATTTCACACTAAATTCACAAGGTTGGTTATAATTAGAATTGTCAAGAATCTACTGTGGTCTATAAAAGGAAGAATACTCATTCATGTTGCAAAAGCACGATAAACTAGTAAGTCTAATGGTAGGTAATACGTATAGCACAATAAAATAAATAAATGTTAATGACAACATTCCCTAGAGGAAAAAGTAGAATCAAAACACCCAAAAACACAATGTTTGGAAACTGGCCTTGAGTCCTGAGATCTTGAGATGTGGTCTGAGAAACTCTACAAAGAATTTGACACTGAAAATCCAGCTGAAAAGGCAGGTGTTAGGTAGCCCTGAGCCTGACTTTGGTCCCATAATTAAATGAAAATGGATTTGAACTGGCATTTTGTCTTATCTTTACAAGAAAACACATCATCCAGGCAAAATTGACAAAAAGTGGCGCAAATCATTAGACAACCAAGGATTTCCTTTTAAGATTCTCTCTTCCCTAATGAATGGATGTAATCTGATGACGTAATATTTATTCATATACACTTTTGGTTGAATAACTGAAGAGAAATGAATTTCTTTGCAGTGAATTACACTACAATGTTGATTTCATTATAATTTAATATTGTGTTGGATAATTTTTATCAATATAATCATTCACGAGGCAGTGGCTTGCAGTCGTAAAACATTTTTTTGCAGCGTTTTAATCAGCTGGTTAAAAGCCTCTGTTATGGCGCATCTGTTTCGAAATCGATAACCTTGTGTTTGTTCCCGCTTGAGGTTGGAGAGGATGGAAGATATCGTTTTATACATATTATTTGGTGACTATTCTCAGGACCAGTGAGTTATTAACACATTTTTTTACATGATTCGTATCTTATTCACGAACTAGCAAGCCATAGTTGATAGGAAAAAGTAGATGTTGATCTCGCTTCCTCAATTAGGAAGATGGCCGAATCTGTACTTGTTTACCTATGTTTTGACCATCTAGATTTTAAACATTTGGCTGGTGCCTGCAACATTTTAGGAGAATATGGAAAAGTAGAACACCTGTGAAATGTAAATGTGATTACTGCTCACTGTCCAGTCTTCAAAAACACATTTCAGTAATTCAAGTCCTTTTTGTCCTCCACCTTTTTGATGAATGTAATAGTTTTTTTTTGTAGGCAATACTTCTTTGATTACAGGTGATATTGTAACAGGTATACATAGACTGGAATTGAGTTTCAAAATTGTGGGTATTTGTGGGGCCAACTCAGCCAAAATCAGCCTGCTGGTATTTGTGGTTGGACAATGGATGGCTGTTGGGTGGGAGGGGCACTGAAACTGCCAAAATGTGGCATCTCTTGCAGGGGTAAGCTAGAATGAAGAATGCAGGTTTTTTAGTATGCCGGTAATTTGGCGGTTTTTTTTGCTTGGGGCGTGGTAGCATGCCGGTATCCCAGTAAATTTTTGTGGGGCGGGGCGGTGCCGGTAGCAGCCTTTGGGGAAAACTTTGCAACTCTAATTATGAGCGTCATTTTTCATTCGGTTTTGTTGTGCGGAAGCTTTATTTCCACTAAATTGCCGGCCCATTTCGGAGAAAATGGCGGGATAGTTGCGAGCCGGCGCGGCAGCTGAAAGGCGGCCCTGGTTTCAGCCACCGGCAATTTAGTGGCCGCGAGCCGGCCAACTACAGACTGATAAAACCGACCGGCCAGCTGATGGATGCGCCGGGTGCCGTTCGTTTCTGGAGCCATTCGCCGTGTCCGTACAAATCAGATACCTTCAATATCTGGTCGACTGCAGACGTCGGAAACCGCCGCGACCCCTGCAGGCTGCAGCTCTGGCTCGAAATAAGTCATTAAATAACCGCGTCGGGAAGTCGAATACAAAGTGGGCGCATGCGGTCCACATTCCACGACAGAGACAAGAAGACAGTTTGATTTCGACCATGTTGCTAATGTTAACTGTGCTTTTGAATATCAACCGTTCAATGATAGGTCATGTGGTGTAAAATGCATTTATTTCAATCGTGAATGCTTAAGCACGAGATCATAAGTTCTTGGTCTATGCCATTTATAAGTAAATATCAGTACACGCCACCTTAAATATCATATTTGCCGCTGTGCGTATATTTTAGGCATTTCAACGTTGAGTTGAGAATTGCTAATTAGTTTATTGAAACAAAAAATAACCCGTTTTTCAGTGCTCATACCTACGAGAATGAAAAATAAACCGTTTGTTGAGAAACCAATAAACCAATTTTTAATAATTCTCATAAGTATGAGCAACATGTTACTTTTCATCATTCTAATAAGCTCTGCGCTCCTATATATCATAAATTATTTTGCCACAAGATCATCTAACAGCTATCATGGAATTGGACACGAACAAAGATGTCGGCGACAGTTTTTTTTTTTAATCGCATAAATGAACTTCCACCACATGCCGTCTATCATACAGCCACACGATAGTCGAGCAATTCCACCAGCTGTGGGACTTTTCTGTTCGCCATTTTTCAGTAACACGATCGCTTACCAACTCGGTCACAGCTCTCCCGGCCGCCCAGTGAGGCGACAAATCATTCACTCTGGCACCCACGGAGCCAATATAGCCGTTGTATGTGATTTGAACACCACCGGGCAGCGCACTGTGGTGCTCAATAACGCCTCAAGAAGTTCACACAGCGCACAAAGGGCCACCATTTCGCCTGAACGCCGCGTACATTCCTGATAAATGGGCAATAACGCCTCACGAGCGGCGGATTTGTCCAATTTCGACACCCATTGCGCAGTGTTCAGCGGTTTAGACCTGTATCCTGCTGCCGCGAGTCCGGCTCGGTGGTAAAGTTAAGCTGGATTGTGGATAGGCGTAATACAAGTATGCGGGGATCCACCGGTGCATACCAATGAAGGCGGTTGCGTAGGGTGCGGATGAGACCATGGTATGCCCGCTTAGTACAACACGACGGTGGATTTTCTCTGAAGATTTATCTTAGTTACAGCACCAAGTACCAGCATAGCGTGAGCTACTTAATTACAAATATTCATCTATGTTACGTAATACTATAGCACCCGGGTTTGAAGAAAAGACGCGTCACCCATTCATGTTCGATATTCGTCGTAATTTTTATGCTCGTTGTAATATTTCAAACGCTCTTTATTATTCTGGCCGAATATATTCTTGGTCACATCCATGTGCATTGCACCAGCAAATTCTTGCTTAAAAACGATCACAGAAATAAGAGTGCTAGCGCTAAACCGTACCTAGCTGGGCACCAGTCACAAATTACTTAATTGGAGAACAAACCGTGAACACCTGACCACGACAAGACCATCGCTCAACATTCCTCATCATGCCCTCTCAGGTGGAGCTTGACTGACAGCGCAAATGTGCCAATAATAGTTACTTATATCTAAACAAACAGCTGATTTAACATTTTCATCAATTGATTACCAACGTGTGCCAGACCTTAACTATCTTGTAATAAAAATACACGAATTAGCGAAGCATCACTTACAAAAAAAATGACAAAAAATCGTCACATATTCCTTATGAGTGCTTACAAACATTTTGCCGGCGATTTATTTCCTAATTGATACATTTTGAGTGTTTTTTTTTTCTACAACACCAAACCCCGTTACGTCCAGTCAAAGCACACCACCAGCCATTACATTCATAAAGAAAAGAAAATACATAGGCATGTCATCAAGATAAATTCTTCTCGACGCGACTGAAGGCCTTATCGATACTTAATTCGTGGGTGACGTTTCGTGTTTTACCCCTCATACGACAACGCTTATGAGGATCAACTTTCGACGATAATGCAAGGACAATGCTGTGGCAGTACATACGGGTACAGTACTTGTGTCACAAGACATTACTGAGGGTATATAAATACCCCGTGTACCCTTTACACTACACCACTTTACGACGGCAAATCAGCAACTTACATCGCTATGCTAGAACTGACAGATGACGGAGACATCTGGAGTCACTAGCCAGCGCCACACAGTAGTAGGACTCTGACCCTAGTAGGGTCACTTAGTAGTGCGTCTCTGAAACCAGCAGCCGGTGCATCAGGGCATGGACGGTGACCTCGTGACTAGGGGAGAAGCCAGCCGTCCATCAGTGGGCGTTGAATGCCGCCTCGGAGGGAGCTCTGAGCACACTGGCCGCAGGCTCCACTGGCTGCCGAAAGACAACAGACGCAATGTCAAAGGGTTGAAAGACATTGAGTAAATATGTTGTGTACTACATTTGTAATGGTAATGCATTTTTAGGCGATTGTGAAGCATATGCAACATTGCCTAAAATGTATAATATTTTTTTCCCTGCAATTGCCTAAACAACTTAATAAATTTAGGCAAGAACGACCCATGCTATAACAGGTGAAACAACAGAAACAAAGCGTCTTGTTTACTGCATTTGTCATCTGCCGTACCTACCCGTCCTGAGTTCCGCGGACGCACAGTGACGTCACTGGTGGACACTTTGTGACGTCACACGGTGGTGACGGACAGCAGGAGGTCGGCCGTGCCGCGGGGAGGCCCCTGTCGGACACCCGAGCCGAGGGGAGGCCCCTGTCGGACCCCGGTGTCGTGGTGAGGTCGCCTTCTGGACGGTGTCGGCGGTGGCTTCTTCGACAGACTGGGACTCATGCCGGGAGGCAGGACCTGAGACGGAGATCGCACATGAAAAGGTCAAGTGGAATTCAATCAAACAATTTTTTAAACATAAAAAATGCATATATAAATGCACATTGCACAATCAAATGCTACCTTTATGTAATAAGGCAAAAATACGCACGAATAATGCTTATGTAACGTAACTACTGCTGGATTTACCAAATAAAATACTTCCTTTACTTTTTTCCATTTAAACTTGTTGAAATGTCAACTGTCTGGTAAATAATGGTATGATATTGCTGAGAGCGAAACATGCGAATCCGGCCTGCCGCTCACCTGGCGTTTTCTCAAACTCAGTTCGTCCTGTGTCCCTTCTTCCTGAACAGATGTCATCTTGAGCCTTTGCTGTAGCTTCAGTTTCTTTTCCTTGGCGTGCTCCAGCTGTCTCTTTTTCTCTTCCTTCGGCCAATACTTCCCGAGCTGAGAAGGAATAAAACGATCGTCAATGAAAGTCGATTGATTTTAAAGATGCGACGCACAAACAACATTCTTCCTACATGGGAGACTGCTGCTCCATTTCACATACCACCGATATCAATTCAACGTTCAGTTCAGTTAAGAATAAAACTATCAAGAATCGTCTGCTGTTGCTTCGATATTCGTGAACACTTAACAGACACTTCAAACCAGCTGTGAGAAACGCATTGCATATTTCGCATTCAAACGTCGTCCTATCCCTCACTACAAAGTCTACAGCCCCAACAAACCTTCAGTTCCGACATGGCGTCGTCGTCGGTCGTGATGCCTGTCCTCTCCTCTGCAATCCTCGCCGCTCTCTCCTTCAGCAGCTGACTTCTCATCGGTCTGCGAGCGATGTAACGAGATCCGTCTGAACGCACCTTTACCCTGTACTGGTACTGCGGCTGCTCGTCCTGACCTCTATTGGCAGGCAGTGTGAGGTTGTGGTTCTGCTGACCGCCGCCAGGGGAGCTGACGAAGCGGTACTGTCGCAGGGAGCCCGTGAACGGCGAGTTAGCCGGCTGCTGGCTGCTGTTCGGAGCTCTTTCTTGCGTTCGGCGCATCAGCTGCTGGTAGAGCTGGCGCTGCTGCTGGTGGATGGTTTCCTCCAGCTTTGCTGCGCTGGTGTAGCTGGTTCCCTGCGGCAGAATCGTCACGTAGTTGCGGTTCTTCTCAGCTGTATTTGCGCTGTTGATATCGTTCTTGTTTTTGGTCGTCCGGGAGCAGTGGCGACACCGTTTACACCGGTCCTCCTTGCTCTCTCCCGAGCGGGAAGCGCGAGGCGCCGATTCGCGAGTGGGAAGCGTCAGGGCTGACTCTCGCTTCTCGCTTCCCAGGACAGTGAGCTCCAGGGCTACCGGCTGGCGACCCGCTTCGCGTCGCTTCTCTCCCGGCCGCGAGTCGCCGCTGCTGCGACTGTCACTGGTAGAGCTTCTACGAGTCCAGGGCTCTGCCGTCCGCATCCAGCCGGGAAGGTGGTTGACTGGTCGGCCCGAGGGTGGCTCGGGGGGCGATTTAGAGTCGCCGGGCGCTTCGCGAGGCGCTCGCGGCTCGAACGGCTGACAGTAGAGCGGCTCGTCCGACTCGCCGTCCTCCGGGATCGTCTCGTAGATGTGGTCCTCGATGATCCTCCTACGGGCAGCTCTCTGCCTCCGAGCGAGCGACTCGCACTCTCGTTGAATCAACGCCATTTGGCTGTGCACCGACCTCATCTCACTGTCGACTGAGAGATCGCCGCGCCTCTGGCGGTCAGTTTGAGAACTACAGCTTTTAACACTGCCGCTACTAGCGCTGCTGACGCTGCTGGAGCTGCTGTTGGTGCTGCTACTTCTCATTGTGTCTCGCTTCTCCTGGGAGTCTCGCTCGGGGCCAATGTCCCCTGATAGTGTGTCCACCGCCCTGAAACAGGAAATGGATGGGGTCCGTTAAATCCAGTTAGGGAGTGGCGCGGAGTAAATGGCTCCACCCGTCGTCGGAATGGAAGTTATTCTCTCTGAGAGAATTAAGTAATTTGCGAGTTGGACACAGCGAGCTGGCTGCTGAGCCGCTGGCCTGAAAGCTATAGCCAACGCCGTGTGATGGACTAGGCTGATGGACTAGTCACTGCTAAAGTGACCATCCCACCTTAACATTAGTTTTGAGTTGAGAATTGAGATAGCCAAATTGTTGGCCATGGCCTGCAAATACCGGTTTGGGCACTCACACCATCGAAAAATGCTTTAATTCGGAGATATGGAATTTCAACCTTGCAGTTTTCGGATTCTAAGGGGCTAATGCATTGTAATGCCCCCTTAGAATTTGTGACGTCAGCGGAGATCTAACGATTTTTAAATCTTAGACTAAAACCATCGTTAACACGTGGTGGTATACACTATGATACAGTACATATACCAACTCTTTTTTTTGTATACACTGCTTTGCGCGCAACGTCTGCCGCACTTCGAGGCTGCCAAATTATTGCTTCCAACTAAGTCGCTAGGAACAGCGGAGATCCCAAAAAGTAAACAAAAGTAAAAGCCTAAAATCTTGAAAACCAGTGAATATTTTTCGGTGAAATTTGGTAGATATTCATTTTTGATCTTTCCGAACCAATGGACATCACTTTTATGCCAATTCTTTAAACTTTTTGAAGGTGGGTCTGGGAGGGTCCCTTTAAGATCAACTAGGGGAACCATTGCGACGACCTGGGTCTGCCGCAAAATATAGTTAACAAATAGGTATATTGTCTTTCTGCGACAAATACATTTTCTTTTTTCTTTTCAAACTGCCAGTGCGGCTTGTTTACACAAAACACAAAATGTGACGGGCAGACTCAATTACTTATTTAGGACTTAAACCATTTTTAAAATTTGAGCTGAATATTACAGCATCAGCCACTTACCTATTGTCCAACGGTGGTTCAACATATTCAGGAGACGAGTGATTAATTTCTTCGGCGTCAGCACGGTTCCGGTGGCAGCCATCGTCGTCCTGAAAATATAAAACACACTCGAATTAACATATTGGTGGAATGTTTGATATAGGGAATACCACCCTACCCAAGGCCAAGGCCGTGTAAGAGACCCAAGACTGGAACAGGAATTGCAAACAACAAAATTAGACAGGAAACTGTCAACGGAAAATTAGCTCGGACAGTTCTCCTGTAGAAGGAGAAGAAAGGACGAAATAATCCGCGACAGTGGCGGTATCCCCATTACGGCAAAAACCGTTCCGCGTGAGAAATCTGTCAGTTTTTGTCACCACGCCCGTCGGCACCTGTCATATCGCTGACAGTTCTGACAGTTTACCCATGGCCAGACTCTGTGCGAACTGTCATCAGGATCCCTCGTCACCCGATCACATTACTCCGAGAAGGGGCTCACACCAGACAAAAGACCGACAAAAAGACGAGGCCGCCGTGTTAAACGTCACGGGCTACCGGTGTCTTATGGAGAGGCGAGATAGGAACCATGGGCTCGTAATATAAACCGTGTGTCGTGGACCAGGGTCATGTGTGTGTTTGGGGAGAGGGTCAGGAAGAAAGAGGGAGGGGAGGGAAGGGTGACAGGGTGTCTGCTGTCGAGTCAGACGTCTGGGGTTTCTCGGACGATTAATTTCCAGACATGGCGCACTATGTGGTCTCAAGGATGACGAGAAGGGTGGTTTGAAAATTAATGAGAAATGGCTTGGTATTTCGGCGGTGAAGGGAAGAGTACCAAACACAAGAGAATGCACGAAGTCAGAAAGAGAACAATATGGAAAATGAACGGATAAACGCGCTATATCATGCATCAGATAAATAAATATACGAAATATTAATACAGCATCCAGAGAGGACCATACATACACATCCATCCATACACATTCATCCATCCTAACAAAGCTTCAATTCATCATGTATCTTAATTTCTCAGGAATCAGAACCGCTATCACTATCAATCTCACGGTTCGACCTCATTGTCTGCTGGAGACATTGGCCAGCCACTGACCTGTTCCCATGGCCGACAGACGAGTAGTGTGACTGTCGGCTGGCTCGAGAGGAGCCGCTCTGCCTGCTCCTTGCTGCACACATCCTCACCGTTTATCTGAGGTCAGAAGGTCATGGGGTCAGGTCATATGCTGTGCGAGGTTAGGGCATAATGAAAAGCTCAGTGTACAGAACACCACGTCCATTTCTCAGTTGACGCAGTTAGAACAATACAGGCTGGGTTAAAAATTTAATATAATTATTTGACAGATGTGTAAAAATGCAAGTGTCAGCAAGGCCGTTCCGTCGCTCATTACGTTGTAAAAAACACTTTAACTCCCCAGGGAGTTAACTTTAGGGAGTTAAAGTGTTTTTTACAACTTAGTGAGGGACGGAACGGCCTTGCTGACACTTGCATTTTTACACTGGGTTAAAAATGTTGATCAGTTAAAACAAACACCATGATTCCAGTGGCAGAACCGACCTTCCAACAGTTTCGCCTCCAACGGACTTACAAGCCTTCATCAAGCTGATTCATTTTTAGGAGCGTAAACCACATACCAGAATCCCCATACCAATATCCCCCTCTCCTGATCAGGGGGGGGGGGGCGGTGGGGACAGCAGGGCGGGCGGGGCATTTGATCTCGGCAGAGACAGCGTGACCTGGGCCTCAGCCGGCGGCGACAGTTCAAAGGTGCCGCCAGCGCGGCAGCAGTCACGCGCCACGCGTTCTGTTTTGATGCTGCCACCCGGAGCGAGAGAGAAACAGGCAAACAAGGCAGAGAGAGAGCGCCGGCCGTGTCCTGGGGACGGGGGAGGGGGGAGGACAGGCATTCCGACACCCCTGGGAAGCGGGGTGCATGACGCGGGTGTAAGGCGACACGCGTCAGGTCAGAGCTGCAGTCCAAAGTAACGGTAACTTGGGGTTCTCGGGTTCAAATAACCGCACATGCCAGATTTGTGCGATTGATTACCTTTGATTTTTGTCGATGTTATGCTTTTTGCTCGTTGAAATACAAGATAATAACATTAACTTCCTTATTCTAGATCACATTTTGTATTCGCCAATTGCTTTTAAATTTGTCCGGCAGTGGAGTATGCAAAGACAGAAAACGATGCTTTGTGATTGCCTAATCACTTATCGCATGTTTACCCACTAAAGATGAACATCTGCAATTTGCATCAATTTATAATTATTCAGTCGTTGACATTGAACTTTCGCCTGGTGTTGCCAAAAAGCCTTTAACGACATTCGACTTCCTTTCTGCTTGGAGTCCGTACATCGTGAACTTCTCAGTTTCCGTTTCAGTTCAGTGTATTCCTTTATAAGGAAACGAAGCAGTTGATGACTTTACCACCTGCAGCACTCGTAAGTAGTCCACCTGAACTGACCTGCACGATCTGGTCCCCCGGCTGGATCCGGCCGTCGGTTTCGGCGATCCCTCCGGGCTCGATGTCCTGAACGAGAACGTCCGTCTCTTCGTCCGCCTCATCACCGTCGGGGTAGAACAGGGTCAGCCCGAGCAGGTCAGAGGTCAGCGACCGGTTCAGGGTCACCTCCTGAGGGCAGACGGTCGTGTGGGTCAGAGGTCAGCGAACGGCTCAGGGTCACCTCCTGAGGGCAGAAGGTCGTGGGGGTCAGAGGTCAGCGAACGGCTCAGGGTCACCTCCTGGGGGCACAAGGTCGTCGTCGAGGTCATGTAGATGTAGCCCTTATCCCTTACCCCTTACTTTGTGAAGGATGTCTCATCGAAAGAGTGACTCGGTGTTCAGTTCAAAGCCTGAATGTGTTGCAAGTTAGCCGGGATTGTAGTGTTCACTTATGTAAGAAAATTGATGCCAAATACTATAGCGAGTCTCTGCGTGACCTTCAGAGAGCGTCTGTCATCACCGGGATCACCCACGACGTGACACATTCCACATAGCTGTTCACTACCGAAACAACCCGATTAATCACCATCTCAAACATCTTCACAGCGCGGAGAGTTTGGATTTGTCTGATTCACGAACGTAATAGCCAGACCCTCAGCGACACAGAGATCAAAGCCTGGGGTGCTTTTTCCGAAACAAGGCGCCTTACATTCACACAGTGACCAGCTACTTTGGACTTGTCTCGTGTCACTTAGGCGACACGGCAGCTAGCTCTCTGTCGCTCTGACGGGACTTCAAAGCGGCCCGCCGCCGTCGCCTAGTGTTCGCCAGAAATCGTGACGTCACGACATGCGCGCCTAATGGCCGTTCATGGGATGGAATGTGGTAGTCGGTGTTTACTGTTTGGTGATTGGGTGTGTTGGCACACGAGGATCAGTCAGCGGCGCGACACGACCGTCTGTAAAGGGAGAAATCAAGGTGTGACGGTGACCAATGGATCTACGCAGTAGTAAACGGGACGCTGGAGTTTCCACTAAAAAAGGTCGCACTATCAATGCAATCATTCTGGCTTAAACAGCACACGCATTTAATCCTCGAAATAAAAAAGAAATGTTGGTATTAAGCAATCCCAATTTATCGTGGTAGGTACTTAGACATTATTGAACATAGGGCAACACGGCATCCGTAAAGAGCCTAATGGCTTGCCCCTGAAGCTCGCGTCACGCTGGGTAGGTGCCGGGTTGCCCGTTCCCAGGACTGCCCAGCGCGAGTGGCACTGTCCGGCGCGTGTGGCACTGTCCGGCGCGGGTGGCACTGTCCAGTGCGGGTGGCCAATGCCATCTTGATCACGCCAGTGCTGCTTTCGCAACGAGAAGACTGGACAATGGTCCTGTCTGCTGACGGCTGACGGCGCCTTTTCAACACGTGTCTGACGGCGTCACAGCGACATCAGTGACCGACATCAGGGCCGACATCAGAAAACCTTAACGGTATTCGTGGGTCACACCAAACAACATCAGTGCAGATATCAGGGCAGACGTCAGTGGGACTGGTACCCGTGGTCATATAACAACACATCAGTGCAGACATAAAGCACCACTGCTGAGTCGCATCACATATCAGCGTGTGTCAGCAATTAATGGTAAATCGCGTTAGCAGTCAACGTGCGAACAGGAGTGACCAGCGGATCATATACGGCAGCGCGCTATACAGCCATTGAACTTGGCTCTATTGGCTTCAAATGACCATCATTGTCTGTTTCGCTCCACTTCTTAATTACTCATCCGCCGCTCTGTAGAAAAGGTGAAATGTAACAGCACGTGCAAAAATAAGTGTCACAATCCAGAGACATTATTATCATTTGCAGGCTTTATTTCAGGTGCAGCGCTGTGCAAACGCTTATTACTGAGTTTTTTTTCACGCGTAAAATGATGACTTTTTCGGCGTGGGGGATTCTATTTTTTTTTTTAAGCTACGTGCAGCAGTCAGCACTGTGAGGCATTTGTACCAAGTGTTGAGCCCGACTACCACACATTTAATGGCATGTCTTTCGCCTAAAATGGTGTTGTTCATCGGCAAAGCACTGAAAGCATGTTCAATAGACACGAACAAGCACGGTTGTTGCACAGTTGTGCACAGTTGCGTTCGTGTTGATAATCTACCCCGTTGGTGGCTAAACACCAGCGAAGTTCCTTGTTTTAAGCCACACAAACAGTTCATTGTTTAACGCTCCCCTCCGCTCTTTTCCATTTGGACAGAGGGAAGGCTTTGATTAGAAGCGGTACCTACGTGTGCCTATTGACAATCTTAGAACCTCCCCTAGCACTTAAAAGGCGAGACGCGCGAGGCCTGCTTGACTCCAACAACAATGACTTACGGACAATGCATAGCTACGACGATGCATCACGGGAGTCTGCATATGAGAGACGCGAATTTGAACGGCAACACTTACAATTCACATCCAGCAATACTGACCGTACTTTCACGTATAGTGGCATTCGCCACTCACTTTTCACGGAATCATCCAACCGGTGTCGTGACTCACAGGTTCTCAACGTGCGATCGTGGAATGTAATAGCTGTCGGCTTGTCTTTTAATCACACTCCTATATAAGGCACCGACACAAAACCATTTCGTTCGAAAAACGGTGCCACGAGCGCCTTGGGTGACGTACTGCTTTGTCGGCAAGTTGGAAATCTGCTGATGAACATGATTTCGTCGCGTGATACAACTAGTTTCCATTGCAAGGGCGCTAGACAGTGACGTACCCAAGGGGGGGGGGCACGGGGGCCATGGCCCCCTCCTGAGCGCCGAAGGCGCTCAGGTGGCCCCTCAGGCCCCGGTATATTTTTAGGAAGAAAAAATGATATCAAAGTTTCATTTATGTGCCCCTGGTTACCCGAGAGGCCCCTGATGACCCGATGGGCCCCTGCAGTCATCCGAGGGCCCCCGGTTTCCTGGGTCCCTGGTCGCCTAGGGGGCCCCTGGTAGCCGGGGCCTGGTCGCATGGGGGCCCCTGATTGCCTGGGGTCCCTAGTCGCCTAGGGGGCCCTGTTAGCCGGGGGGCCTGATCGCATGGGGGCCTCTCGTCGCATGGGGCCCCTGATCGCCTGGGGCCCCTAGTCGCCAAGGGGGCCCCTGGTAGCGGGGGTCTGGTCGCATGGGGGCCCCTGGTTGCCTGGGGGCCCCTGGTCGCCTGGGCGGCCTGGGGGCCCCCGGGTGACCTAAGGGCCCCTTCGGAAGCAGGTGGCCCCCTCCTGGGCGAAATCCTGGGTACGTGCCTGGCGCTAGAGGCTGTTCAAGTGTTATGGGCTACTTAAGGACATCGCATATCCATTCGAGTCAACGGACAAGCTTATCGCACTTTATCGGAAAACGAACTACTTCACTGCTTATAGCAACGATCACTGCTTATAGTCTAGCTAACGCAACGACCAAATAGGGTGCGCAATGTGGACTGTTTCGTGCATTATGCATAGGAAGAAGTTCGGTGAAACAAACAGTATAATTCAAAATTGTTTAACTAATTATACGGCATGGCATCTGCATTGTCAACAGTAGACAAACAGACACACATCGAGCGAAATTGATTGGGCTTTGGTTGGTAGCATGACGTTGGACTTCAGTCATATCCCACCGGACGTACAGTCTGTCTTAAAAGTACCGCGCAAAGTGACGGTGGATCCATCAAGCCTGACCGATGAAGGACTGCCAAATTTGAGTCACCGAAGCAATGGACATCCTCGTCCATTCCCCAGCTCCATTGGTTCGGTGACTTTCAAATTATAGCAGGCCCTTCCTCGGTCAGGCTTGATGGATCCACCGTCACTTTGCGCGGTACTTTTAAGACAGACTGTACAGGCATCCCTTGGCTTCCAATAAATGTTAAACCTACCATCTTCCCTCTTACCTGGAAGTCCAGCTGCGGGTCGCCCTCTTCGTCAAAGCACGGGTCGTCTTCGTCATGGAGATCGTCTTCGAACGGCGGTGGAGGCGGAAACTCGGGCCATGAGACGGTCTGCGTGGCCGCAGTGACCCCGACCGCCTGGGAGGTCAACAAGGTCACCGTCAGTCGTCGCGGGGTCAATGCGATGGAGCGTAGGTCAGCGAGTGCATGGGGGTAGCCGACGGAGTGAACGAGACGGTCGCTTAATTTCAGCAGTCACCACTCGATTAGATGGACCCTTAGTCTGGCTTATGAATTAGGTAAATGCATATAATAACGATAATAGAAAGAAAATCAATATTGAGATAATCGCGGTAATTATCAGTGTATGACATCTTACAACTTTGTTCCATATAAAACAGAAACGATCTAAAAAATGAATGCATTTGTAACTTTGCCCATCGTCTCCAATTATTCCTAAAAAACATCTAAAATAAGGAATCAAACCCCATGATGCTTACCAGACTGAACAGTGAACACAAACAAATATCGTATAAATGGTGGTCTTAGCTGCGTTTTTCTATTTCACTGACCTCTGTGCCATCGTCGCTCTCCTGACGGGGGTTGAGGTTGGCGTCACTGCGAACTGCATCAGCGGCCGACGGTCTGCGCAGGACCTCGACCACAATCGGCTCACGAGCTGCCTGGAAGGCCCTCACGGCCTCCTCGTGACTGGCCCGTGACACGTCCTGGCCGTTCACCTGGCGACACAGGGTCACGTAGAGGTCAGTAGGGGTCAACACGCATCGATTCAGGGGTCCAACTTTACATCGATATTCATTTCATATTCAGGGTGATATCGATATTGATCGATATTGGTTCGAAGTGATATCGATATCTTATTATCTATTGCCACCATGACGAAGGTGAGGTAAGCGATTGGTTGAGCTGCACATAAATAGAATGCAGTAGCATACTGTTTTATATCTATTTCGATACACACCTTTTGATAGCACCACATCAATCCAATCAATTTCATGGAATATCCGAAAAAAGACAAACACAAAAAAAAAAACAGATAACCACGTGTGAGAGCTCATCCCCATTCCTTTCGTCTCTAGAAGTCGACCCGCGGCAACCCTCGTCAGGTGGGGGTTCAAGCCGCTCAGACATCAGAGCCAGCCCGCCGCCCAGCGGGGAAGGAACTTCAGTGAAGCATACGACAGGGGTGAGACGCGAGCGACCTCCGCGCTGTCCCCGGCAGTCGCTAACGACCCGTCAGCTGACGACGGTCACGTGATCGATCAGCCGAACGGAGTTACGTGATCAGGGTCGGTTGCAATTTGGTAAGGGATGGGACTGGCTACGATTAGATGACGGAAATTTGGTGGGGCTGTCATCGGCATTCACTGTGTCGTCTTTCGGAGTGTGCATTTAACTTGTTTGTTGGCAGAAAGGTAGCGAAGGCACGGGGTAATGCAGGTACAAAAATGTTCTAAGGAATTGCTTCTTTTTATTTTGAGTAGGTACATTCGGCTGAATGCGTGAACAGTGGAAGCGTTCGCCGTTAAAATGATTTAGCGTGCTCTCGCACAAAGTGCCCCAGGGATTCACCGTTGCAATCGGTGTGGCGTAATTAGTCCGTTTAATTAGTTTCGGAACGCAAACGGCGTAAACACCGTCCGTCTGGCCGCATCCCAAACACATAAATCGCCCCGCGAGCTGCCGGCAATTTCTGCGTTTATCGCCATCATATGCGGACCTGCACGGGATGCACCGAACCGGCCAAGGTCTCCGCGGCGCATTATCCGCAACCAACAACAGCCGCGCCGAAAAACAGCCGCATAAATTCGCCTGCCTCGAATGTCACTCATAAAGATGGCGGATCGCGCCCTTTTGGGCCGCAGCTGCCCGGCAGGAGGTCCAAAACAGAGACCTTGGCGGACTCCCCCGGAACGCTTCCCGTTCTTCATTCTGGACACACTCCCCTCCCCCCTCCCGGCCCCCTGCAGGGTTATGATGCGTACGGCGGCGATGTAGCTCCTTTGAGGTTAAACAACAATGCTCTGATGTGGACTCAGTGGAGTCTTCCGACGGATAAGAAACTTGACCCTGAAATGGCTTCCCATGAAGTCCAGTCTTTGATCATTCAGTGCACTAGTGCAGGATTTGTACAGAAGCACTAGCTGCATGCAGCTCTCTTTAGCTGCCCCCCTCAAATCCCCCCCTCTCTCTCTCTCTCTCTCTCTCTCTCTCTCTCTCTCTCTCTCTCTCTCTCTCTCTCTCTCTCTCTCTCTCTCTCTCAGAAAACTCGACATCAAACAGGCGTCGTCACAACTAACCCCTTTATCTATTTCCCACAAAGGTGCCATCACTGTCTCCCTCTGTCGGGCCCGCTCCTCTGTCCAGCTCTGTGCGGTCCACTCCTTGTTGGTCCACGGATTGTCATTGTCCACACAGAGGGCCTCACGCCGTCGTCTAACCGTCAATATTTACTGGCGAGATAGGAGGCTTTGGAGTCCCCGCCACGGCATGACGAGACACGTTACGCTGCACCCGTCCCTCCCTCGCCCTCTCCTCCCCTTCCCTCCCCTCCGCACCCACCCTTCCGCCAGGGAGTCTGAGTTGCTGCACGCGCTCGAGTCCATAGGTCGCGGCCGTGGGGTCGTTTGCGTCGTTCCACACAGCTGGGGCCGATTGAAGCAAAGAATGCGCATGCTTTCGAGCGTCCCCGTGCACAGCGGAAGTGAAGTGGAGGCGGCGCAATGCTTACAGCGGAGCGGAATTGCAAAGCCAGGTGTGTCGGCCTGTTGCAATGATGCAAGGGTCAACATTTGGGGACGGGCTCGGGAGGGCGGGGGCGGTGAAGGCGAGGCTGGGGGAGGAAGCGGGGGCGGGTAGGCCGGGAGGGGGCGGGGGCAGGGGCGGTTGGCGGTCTAGTCGGCGTGGCGCCCATGACGAGGCCCCAGGAAGTTTGGCGATAGCGGACAATGATTAAGAGAACATTTGGAACTAACTCATGGGATTCTGTTCAGTGTGCTGGCCTACCCTTCGACTTACGATAAAGAGCAGATCCAGCAATTCACTACGTAATTGTGATTACACTTTTACTTGATAAGTCTTTTTTCAGGATTTTACTGCTTAAAAAGACAATATCAAACTTGAAAGGATATGCATTGATTCTGAAATTGGAGTGCAACAGCTCGATAAAGGACAAAGCGAAAAAAATATACCGAATAAGAGCTAAAAGTCGGCAAGCGTGTATAGAAAGGGTATCTAACCCGTGCAAAAAACGCCTACGTTGATGTCCTGCAGTTATGCCAGCCTTATGACTATTTGTGGTCAGGTAAGCTTTGTACAACAAGCTATATTAATCCTGCGTCTCAGAGCGGATTCTCGCAAATAATTACCCCGAGTACTGTTGTGTCGTTAGGAGGCTTATATAAGTTAATCATGAGCGGCAGTCGCAGAAGACAAATAACCCCACTAACAAGAAAAATGCAAGGATCCTTCAAAGTAATCCTTGTAATCTTGAATAAACGGTGGCTTCCATCAAGTTAAGTCGGTTGTTCGCGGGGGACAGCTTCTCCAGCCGTAAGCATTCGAGTATGTTAACCAAGCGTGCATGATGAGTTTTGCTGAGGGGCACCGGCCGCCGCCTATGAGTTGGAATACATAGGCGGCGGAACGGGGGGGGGGGCACTGGCCACCACCGGGGCACCGTTCCCCCTTTGAGTTTGGCATTTTAACATTATGCCCTATGGGCGTTGCATGGAAAGAATGGGACCAAAAGTCGGCAGTCCCCCCTCCCACCCCCTTATTGAAGGAGTTCCGCCGCCACTGTTGGAAAACCCGATGATCCACGGACCCGATCATTCAAATTAGCTGTTCACTGACCCTTCCTCCCTCTCCCCCCTTTCTTTACTAATCCTCTCATGCTGTCTCGGTCAAAACCTGGCGGTCAAATATCCGGCATTCTTATCATGCCTGCAGCTTCTCCATTCAGGTGAGGACTATAGGCAGATGATACTCGGACTAGGCTTTATGAGCGGTAACGGGCCAACGTGCACGCCGCACGGCTATAGGCAGCCCGCGGCGCTACAGCGTAACTGACACCGAATGATGTCATAATTCATTATATGTTCTGCACGCAACGAAACTTTATCTTCTTGTGCAAGGACATGTGATGTATTTTCAGTTGTGTGCTTTCAACATTCAATACGTGTTTAAGCTTTTGATCAGATTGCTCAAAACTCTGCACAAAGAAATGACTCAAGAACTGAAGTCAAGCGTCACATACACATACACCTATACACACAGAGCCGGTCGGGGTCTTTCCGCCGTCGGTGCCGCTACCCTGTGCTCCCTAGCGCGCCGCGGTCACAGCGCCCCTCCGGCTCCCTCCACGCTGACTGCTTGGTTGCAAAGGTCTTTGTGGAGGTAGAAGAATATGTATCCGTTTCTCTGGTGTCCCTCGCCCAAAACTTCGGCCTCGTCGACGCAGCTGACTCGGCTATCGTTATAGCGGTACCAACGGTCCCTGCCGACGCTGTATACGTCCGACACGTAGTGTCCGGAGTGCGTGTTGCCGCCGTGGTGGCTGACGACGCTCACCAGTCGGTAGGTAAAGTCGCCGGCCATGTCCGTTGAGCAGAGAGACTGGTCGTCTTCCACGCAGGACTTCGGGAAATGTACCTGCTCCGAGGCGTCGGCCGGCGCTCCCTCCTCCAGCGACCTCATCATGGCTTCCTTGAGCTCGCGGTCTTCGCGGGTCCGCGCCGGATTGGACTCGGGGTCGGCGTCCTGCGCTACCAGCTCGGCCTGCGCTGGCGGCAACGGCGGTGGCTCGGCACCGGTCGCTGACATGGGACGCGCCGGCGCCGCGGCTCCGGCTGTCACCGGCGATCCGGCGGCGGCGGACTCCGGCGGGCCGGCGCTGGCGGTCGGCACTGATGACGGTCCACAGGCGGCGGGCGGCGGCGACGGACCCGACCTGGGCGCCTCAGACTCCTCGAAGTCGGAGAGGGTGCACAGGGAAGGCTTCCTGCACTTCCACTCGGGAGGCCGGGTGACGTCGTCCGCGACATACTCGTTTAGCGAAAGGAACTTCGGAATGTCAACATTGGCACGGATTTTTATCGATTTCCCTCCAAGGAAGGCGTACCGGTTGAGCTGGAGTATCAGCGTCCTGGGCAGCTGGCTTATTTTGGTGGTGACGCGGCACTCGTCGTGTCGGCAGTGTTGACAGAGCAACTCGCGCCGGTCAGGCCGCATGCTCAGCCGCAGCGCGTCCAGCAGCGTGGGCGCCTCTGTGCCCTGGTGGTGCGGCACGCTGACAAACCAGCTGATGTTCTCTTGTTGTCTCAGTACCGTTTCATGACACTTGGTGCACATGTAGCTCTCGATGGTCTGGTACTGAAAGTTGTCTCGCACCGGGTTGTCGGTCGGCCGCTGCGCGTCGATCTCTTCCTTCAGGGTGTCTAGCAGGCGCAGCAAGAACTCGTTGGCGTCCTGCATCTCGATGCCTCGGAACGCCGGATCAATTTCGGCGAACACGTCGCGTAGGTCGTTAAGATGGCTAAAGACTGATTTGCTAAGCGCCTTCTGGCGCAGCACCATCAGTTTGGCGACGGCGCGCAGCGTGCGACACTGGTCGCTCACACCCGGGTCCGAGATCAGGGAGACCATCTCACTAACGAACGGTCGCAGGCCCAGCAGCGACTGCAGGGTGGCGTTCTGATAGCAGGAGTTCCCGTAGTTG